CTCTCCACCTCTTCAGATACCGTGAGACAGCAGTACATCGAAGGAACTCGCCACCCATTGACCGACCACTAAATAATACTTCGAAGTACAAAAATAAAATACAGATTAATACATAAAGAATAAAAGATTGTTGATGTGATGTTACCACCAACCACTGCTGTACCTTATGTCCGCCGCCCGAGATGACCACGTTCTGCGGCTTGAGGTCCCTGAGCACCCTCGGTCTTGTCTCGCCGAAGTTGCCCTTGAGGATCGAGTGCCGCACGGTGTGAACGTTGATGTCCAGGTGCAGGTCTTGCACGGCGTGCATGTCCAGCTTTATGGCGATGAAGCACTCCGAAGCGGAGAACACCTCCTTCATGTACACCGCCACCTGTACGAGGGAGGAGTTCAAATATAGTGGGGGAAAGCGTCAACGGGGAGCGGGGATAATATCGTTGTCCGCTTGTCACTCACTGTTCACGCTCCCTCAAAGCATGGAGGTCAGGTCTTCCCACAGTACTCGGTGCCCATAAAAAAAAAATCGAAACAAGACCTTCCCCAACACAAGTAAACTTGAGTGCGTGGGAGTACATCGGTGGGAACCTACCGAAGCGTTCTTTGAGACGCTTCACGAACCAACCGAACAAGCGTCGGGAACGTCGTCTCGATCTTGGCCCTGCACCCGTCTGTCTTAGCCAAGGACAACAAAAAAAACGCTTTCGACGCCTATTCTTGGCCTGACACTGCTGAATACAGAACCCTTGTTTCTGTTCCGATAAACGCAATGACGCTATCAAGAACCAACACGCCTTGTCCTAACAATGAAAACACAACACTTGTTTATCTTTGGATAAACGCACGGACGCTAAATATTTCAGAACCAAACGCCTTCCAGTCACGTACGTTCATCTCCCAAGGTCATTAATGAACCAACGAACGAACCTGCCCAAGAGTGGTCTTTTCGATCTTGGCCTTGACCACCCTGGCCGACGTCTTGCTGTCGTCCTGCACGAGCTTAGCCGTGATGATCGGCGTGCTGATGTTCTGAGGAAAACAAGCCGGGCACAACCAAAATCAACCGTCAAGCGTCACACGAACAAATTGACGTGTTATGCTCAGAAAGCTCTTGATATTCGCTACAAATCTGTATACAGTCTTGATAAACAGAGAATCACGTTGACGGGCAAACGGTCGACCGGAAGAAACCATACCAGTGACGGATAAACACGAACAGCACACACTTGCTACCCCCGCGGGCCAACCAACAACACCGCACCGCTATTTAGCTGAACATTAGCCAGCGTCGCAATTCTGCACACGCAGCGAAGGCCACGGCTGTGCTACACTCGAAGCCCAACCGACTTTTCCAAGCCTTTTTTTAGCAAATACACATACACTTATTAAGAGGAAGACTGCGTTCGACACTATAACCACAGTGGTCGAAGGGGATGGGTTGAAATGAAAGTCTTTACCGTTTTTTCCTTCGCACCTTGGAGGCGTTGATGATCTCCTTCAACCGGGGGACCCCGAGCGTTACGTTCATGCTGGCAACGCCGGCGAAGTGGAAAGTCTTGAGGGTCATCTGGGTACCCGGCTCCGAGATACTCTGTGCTCCGATTGCTCCTACCCGCCTGGCACAGGACGGAAAGACAGAAAGGGACAAGCATAATAGTCAGAAGCGAATGGTTGAAATGAACCGTTATCATAGCCGCCAAAATGAATTGCCGCAAACACCGAAGAAGGAAGGCGGAGAATACAACTCCTGTGTGCCTCTCTGACCCCGGCTGGCGCTTCTAGAGATTCTACCGAAAGGTGCAGGGACCTACGGCAGAACAAAAAAGGACGGCAAAAAAAAACTGCCTCCTTCCTATAAACGTATGCGGTGAAACATCCCACGCCCGCTTTCGCAAACGTGTAAATAGCAACATGACAAAAGCACTCACAAGTCAGCGAACTGCGCACCTTAAAAAAAAAAACAAGCAGGACACAATCAAGCAACACACCCAGCTTGATGCCCACTGCCGTTGTAGGGTTATTTGTGATGCAGCAAAAAAAAAAAAAAGCACATGGATTACGTGCCCCGCTTCTACACAGCAGTAACAGAACCTCTTGCGCTCGTTCAACGAAAGCCGGTTCTGTTGCAAACGCTCGTATGAAACGATTGTTTTCACATCATGCCTTCGACTCTTGAACAGCTCAGGTATGGCGTGATTTGCCATTTCTCTGTTGTCTGTCTTGGATGTTGGTGATATTATTATCATTCCTTGTTTTTTGGGTTACTCTTTTGGTTTTGCGGGGCCTCCCTTTGCTACAAAACTACGAGGGGGAGAAATTGCTGTATGCTGCTTGGGGAAAACACAGGTATAGTATCCGCTAACGCTATGAATTAATTAATTACCAACCCTGGACCCCTATCTTATGCACATAGATGGATTTACTGTGTTATATTAGTAAACAAAAAAAAACTGCGATAGGCTTGCCTCTCCTGGCTCGACCAGAGCCCTCTTGTACTTGTCCAAACAGCGGCGAAGAAACTCTTTAGCCTGGGACGCCGTCACGCGGCAGGTGTTGGACACAACAAGCTCTCCCGCCTCCGATTCCTGCACGCAGGGCAGCGCAACAACACGGTACATCATTAGCATAGCATAGCATAGCATAGCGAATCATAGCAAAGCACAACACAGCAGTACGGCGCAACATGGCACAGAACGGCAAGGTGCAGCACAGTACAGTGGAGTTCAAAGGGAAAATAAGGCAACATGGCTGCTGGGTGGGTGGGTGGGTGGATGGCGGATCGAAGCATGTTCTCAAAAATGGCAGAGTATGGCGATGCACAAAACATTGACGTCTT